AGCCACTTCTTCTGTGGGCAGTTGTTTCGGTCGTCTCCCTCCCTTCTCCCGGACCTTTGCGATCATATTCTGCATTTAACTGGTGCCCACAGGCTGCATCAAAGGTTTAAACCGGACAAAAGTGCATTTTTCTAACCCATGAAAGGTGAAATCAGAAGCTTGCTCCCCAGGTAGGCCCAAAGATCGTCTTGTGAAGGCTAGCCATTAAGGCTGCTGGCCGTAAGGTTTTTTTTTTTCTTTCCCCACCTACATAATTTGAGAATGAGAACATGTGTGTGAACTTGAGTGTGAATCACATGTCTGGCTACAGATGTCTGGAAGCCCAGCATTCTTTTCAAGGTTGGGACATTTGCCTCGTGTGACTTCTGCACGCGATGGGGCATGCGGTGGAGTTTTACTGCAAGGAAATCCGTAATAAAATTATTTTCGGAGATTTCAACTTCTCCAGGGGGTTGAATTCTGCCAGCCACATTTAAGGGGATGCTTTTTCCCAGGAGTTGATAATAGAAATTCTATTGTAGAATAGAATATTGTATATTATATGGTATAATGGAATAGAATATTGTAGAACAGAAGGGACGCGGTGGCTCAGTGGCTAAGATGCTGAGCTTGTCGATCAGAAAGGTTGGCAGTTCAGCGGTTCGAATCCCTAGTGCTGCGTAACGGGGTGAGCTCCTGTTACTTGTCCCAGCTTCTGCCAACCTAGCAGTTTGAAAGCAGGTAAAAAATGCAAGTAGAAAAAGAGGGACCACCTTTGGTGGGAAGGTAACAGCGTTCCATGCGCCTTTGGCGTTAAGTCATGCTGACCACATGACCACGGAGACGTCTTTGGACAGCGTTGGCTCTTCGGCTTTGAAACAGAGATGAGCACCCTAGAGTAGGGAACGACTACCACATATGTGCGAGGGGAACCTTTACATTTATTGTAGAACACTGGTGTCTCCATTCCAAAAAAGGGAGACATTTTGGGGGCAGGGGAAAAAAACAACAATTTGTGATATTGGTTTCTAGGGAAGATTGTGTGGGTTTCCTGTTTTGTGCCTTACGTGAAGGTACGTGAATCTTGATCCAGGTTGAGAGAGGAGAATAACCCATAGGATCAGGAGCTTGGAAGGGAACAACTTGAAAGGAATGGTTGAAGGTGTGGGAGATGTTTAGCTTGGTGAAGAAAAACTTCGCCAGGAGACACAAGAGCTGGTTTCAAAGATGAGAAGGATTACCTCAGCAACTGTAAGACTTGTGGACTTCAACTCCCAGTGCTGGCTGGGGAATTCTAAGGAGTTGGTCCACATGTCTTAAAATTGCCAAGATTGGTCATCCCAATTTAGAAGATTAGGCAGATATTCCAGAAGACAGGTGGAAAAACAAGGAGTATAAATTACAAGGAAGTAAATTTTGGTTGGACAAAGGAGAACATCCCAATAGAGAAAAAGGTTCATGGATGACCAAGACGACCTTGGAGATGCTGAATCTACTTTGGACATCCCTGATCTAGAACAAGGGTCTCCAACCTTGGCAACTTTAAGCCTGGAGCTTTGCTGGCTGAGGGATTCTGGGAGTTGAAGTCCTCCAGGCTTAAAGTTGCCAAGGTTGGAGACCCCTGATCTAGAAGATGAGGCAGACAATTCCAGAAGGCAGGTGGGAAAGAAGGAATTTAAATCACAAGGAAGTTTTGATGGGACGTAAGAGAACATCGTAATAGGGGGAAAAGGTTTATGAATGAACCAGACTGTCTTGGAGATGGTGAATCTCCTTTGCTGCTGAAGGTTGAAGAGAGGATGGATGTTCTGTTCTAATCTTCCCAAGAGTGTGTGGGCTACGGATTAAATAAAATGCTCAACCATTGTATGGAATATGATTACCAGTCATGTAACTTTTCATCTCCTGCAACATGGAAAATAACTATTTGGTGGTGATAAGCTTGGCAGGTCTCTGGAAGCCACTTTGCATCCCTTGAGCTTCAGATTGGACATCTTTGTGTTAGATCCACCTTCCCCCATCCTAGGGCCTGCCAGAAGGTATAGATACTGAGACTAGGAATTCTGGGAATTGTAGTTTTCCAGGTTGGAAAAAGCTTCCTCGAATAAGTAGTGGTCTCCTTGGTGTTGGGGTCTGGAAGGAGTAGATGGTAATAGAAGTCCAACTCCAGACAGTCCTCGATTTATAGCAATTCACTGAGTTCGAAGATACAACGGCACTGAAAAAAAAGAGAGTTATGACCATTTTTCACACAATTGTTCCAGAATCCCCAGAATTTGGACACTTTGGTAACCGGTTCATATTTATGACGGTTGCCCAGTGCTAGGATCATGCAATTTCCCCTTTTGAGACCTTCTGACAAGCAAAGTCAATTGGGAAACCAGATTCACTTAAAACGTCTAGGGGGATTCTCAGTCATCCAGGTCATGTTTTCCCAAAGGTACTTTTTCAAGAGGCCACTGGGCTTTCTGGTTTTTCTTTGGAAGACATTTTGCTTCTCATCCAAGAAGCTTCTTCCGCTCTGGCTGAATGGTGGAGAATTTATTTAGTCACAACTGAAGAAGCTTCTTGGATGAGAAGTGAAACGTCTTCAAAGAAAAACCAGAAATTCCAGTGGCCTCTTAACCACCGGGTGACTAACTTAACAACTGCGATGACTCACTCAACAGCTGTGGCAAGAAAGGCCGTAAAATAGGGCAAAGCTCACATAACCGTCTCACTTAGCAACAGAAATGTTGGGCTCAATTGTCCTAAGTTGAGGACTACTGTGTTTCCCTGAAAATAAGACCCTGTCTTATATTTTTTGAACCCCGAAATAAGTGCTTGGCCTTATTTTCGGGGAGGTCTTATTATTTTGGGGCGCGTGGAGCAAGATGGGGCTCCTCTTGATTTCCAGCTCTACGTTTAAATATTTTCGGGTTTTTTTTTTTTCATCCAGAGCTTGTATCCCAAATATCGGGGCAAAACTCTGCAAGCCTTTTGGCCTTAAGGAATCACTGCAAAGACGGGTCATTAAGTGAAACTGATGGAAATAGACGTTCTGTCTCGCTTAATTTCTTTTAGGGCCTCCATTTCCCTTCTCCGCCGTAAACCCTCTCTCCTGTTTTAACTGCTCTCCCATTAACGCTTCCATCTTAGCCGAGACCCAAGTGGCAGCAACTTAATAGCAAGATGGGGCTGGTTTGGGGGAAAAAAAAACACCTTAATTTTTTTTAAGAGAAGAGGGAAAGAATACCTATTCCATTCTCCACCTTCTTGATTTGGGGGCATTGCCTATTTTTTTTTTAATTTAATTATTATTATTTTTTTGCTTCCGGAATTCCTCAGGCACCTTTGCCCCAGTAGTTCTGAATGGCAACTCTGGCCTTTTTTTTTTTTTTTTGCTTTTGCTTCTCCGGCTCAAAAGAGGGCGAATTGGCAACGCCTGGAAGCTGCCCACCTGAATGCTAATCATCCGAGAACGGTCGGCCCGCTGCTGGCAAAATGCATCAGCTGACATCCAGCCTCCCTCCCGTCTCTCTCCCCCTGTTTGCCCAAAATTAAAGTGGTAAGAGAACAAAGTTCCGAAAGAAATTAAGGGTAGGACCAATTTGCATAGACATCTGTCAGATAGGAGTTCAAACATGGCCATCTGGAGTCATATCCCTTGTCATTCTTGATTATTCTGAATAAAGAGGCGGCCCCCGCAGCTGCTGGTTCGTTTCTGGCACCCAAACAGGCTAAGAACGGCGCAAGTACATAACAATGATGCTCGGTTTTGTGTGAATGGGATGCCGTCTTCCTGAGTGGGGTATGGGCAGCCGCGTTCTTAATGCGAGCACAATAGCGCAATCCTCATGTGTGTGTGTATTTTTTTCCTGTAGCTGATGGTACAGCCATCCATCCTTGTTGGCAAGGTCTGTCCCTGTTTTCTTGATCAGACTTTTAAAAAAATGCTTCTTCATATTCAGCTACTTTAATGGGTGTTCCTGATCTCTTGCTTACACTTATTTTGGAAATGTCTTGAGGTAGCAAAGAGCTGACGTTGGAAGCATCTCTAATACCAGCGGTGGGCTTCAAAAATTTTAGCAAGGGGTTCTCTGCCCAGTTGCTGGGTGCGTGTGGCCATGGTGGGTGTGGCCTAGTCGGCCTCCTGCACCACAGTGGTGGTGGGGGGCGGGGCGTTTTTGCCCTCCCCGGGCTCCGGTGGCTTTTCTTTAGCCTCCGGGAGGGCGAAAACGGCCTCCACAGGCTTTGGAGGCCAGAAACAGGCCCGTTTCCGGTCTTCTCGAACTTCCGGTAGGCCCGTTTTTCACCCTCCCCGAGCCTCCGTGCGCGCCCTGCACTTACCTGCATTCAAAATGGGCCTCATGGGGACTCCTGGGAGGGGCGGGGTGGGCGGGGCCAGCCAGGAGTGGGATTTGGGGGTTCTCCGAACTGCACAGAATCTTAGCTGGAGGTTCTTACGAACCCCTACGAACCCTCAACAGCCTTCCCCTGTCTAATGCCATCAGCCGTGTTGGTTCCAGATCTACAGATCTTTATTTGTCAGCTCACTTTGGGGCCTTTTTAATTTCCTTTCTAATTTAAGACTGGCATATCTCACTGTATTATGTCTTTTCCCACTGGAAGTCTCCTTTGCACCCATATGAAGGCTAGCTCGCTTTTTCTCACCTGGTGTCGTCCATGTCCATTGGACCCAGGGCCGGATTTAGATGAAAAGAGGCCCTAGGCTATTCCACTTATGAGGCCCTTTCACCTATAGTGAAAGTGTAATTTTAATTTTGCTAACAATTTGAATGTAGGCCCCTCTTGATCTTGAGGCCCTAGGCTGAAGCCTAGTTAGCCTATAGGAAAATCCGGCCCTGATTGGACCAACTCTTGCCATACTTGGCTATCATGGTGAGATGGAATTCTAGAACATTTGATGGGTTGCAAATTGTGGGTTATCTGCAAATTACCTGGCTTGCCTTGAAGCTGACGGCGGTCAAACATCAAATGGACCTGACTCACGAGGTTGTTTGCTATCTCTTCTCTTCCAGGATGGCTTCTACCACTTCTTCAATAAGCACGGCTCGGATGCAGCTGACCAGAACAGCACCATCAGCAATGCAATTATGGCGGCGGCAGGATTCGGCCTAGCAGGATTGGCTTTTCTCTTGGTGGTGCGATAAGACAACACACAAACAACACACAAACGCACACACACACACACATCCGCGGATTTAGACTGCAGGGAGACGGGATGGGTGGGCACGCTCTTTTCTTGAAACTGCTAACGTCCCAGCGAAACGTCCATTCTATATTTCTACGACGGTCGAAGATAGAAGCCTATATATATATATATATATATATATAAATATATATTTTTAACTAGAGTTGGGGCAAAAAAATTAGTTGAGCACATCACCTCCTTCCCCCCCTCCCCAGCACGACCAATGCCTCTTTGCGCTCATCCTAAGAACTGGGCACCTTCTGGATCTTGGCGTTAGGGCTGCTGACACCACGTCACCAGTTGTTCCGGGACTTGTGAGCGTGCTGGATGTTATTGCTACTTGTTCATGGTGGGCTTGTGATGGAATCAAGTGGAAGACGTGTTTGCCTTTCTTCTTTGTGTGCGTGTGTATGGTGCGGTGGGGAGGGGAGGGGGGGGCAGGTGGGATCGTTGCCTTGTGAAATGTGAGCCAGTATTAATAAGAATGAGGGGTTTATTCTTCTTGGGGTGCAATGCAAACCATACCAAGCCACTCAATAACATAAAACTTGCAAGTTCCATGTTGCACAGAGCATTATAGCTTACGTGTTTTTGTTATAATGACATAACTCTTAAGTTACACTACAAGTATATGTCAAGAATGTTGATACCAAAACAGTCGAAGCTGCAGAACCAGTTCTTAACTGAAGTTGTTTAACTATTAAAAGAAGAAGAAGAAGAAAAATCCTTTTTAAAATTGGTATATTTGGAAGTCCATTGAAGGCTGGGATTTCTGTGGATTTCCTGTCAAATCCAGAAACTCCATATAACTTAATATATTTTTGAAGTATTTATCATTGTATAATACTGGTAGCTGGTTAACATCTATTTTTGTTAAATTCCATTTTTTTAAAAGAAAAGCTCTCCAGTTGCTTTCTTCGCTGTTATCTGTCTTATAACTTGTTTAACAGTTCTAGTTTTGGTAATTGATATACTGTGTATTGTACAAAATAGTCTTTGAGAAGTGTTCGGTGTCCTTTCCTTTAGCTTGTACAGTTTTAATATGTGAATAAACAAGTAAATATTTTTATTTTAAACAAGTTCGTGAGCAGCCTTTATGTGGAATTTCTCTCTCTCTCTCTCTCTCTCTCTCTCTCTCTCTCTCCCTCCCTCCCTCCCTCTCTTTCTCTCTCTCTCTCTCTCCCTCTCCCTCCCTCCCTCCCTCCTCTCTTTCTCTCTCTCTCTCTCTCTCCTCCCCTCCCTCCCTCCTCTCCTCCCTCCCTCCCTCCCTCCCCCCTCTCTCCCTCTCCCTCTCCCTCTCCCTCCCTCTCTCTTTCTCTCTCTCCCTCTCCCTCCCTCCCTCTGTCTCTCTCTCTCCTCCCTCCCTCCCTCCCTCTCTTTCTCTCTCTCTCTCTCTCTCCCTCTCCCTCCCTCCCTCTCTCTCCTCCCTCCCTCCCTCCCTCCCCCCTCTCTCCCTCTCCCTCTCCCTCCCTCTCTCTTTCTCTCTCTCCCTCTCCCTCCCTCCCTCTGTCTCTCTCTCTCTCTCTCTCTCTCTCTCTCTCTCTCTCTCTCTCTCTCTCTCTCTCAGGCCCAAAACGCAAGTAGCACAAACATGCCTTCAGGAAAAAGCTGTTCTTGTTTTTTTGTTTGTTTTTAATGCTTTTTTTTTCTTTGCTCGAGGGGTGACGAATGCTATCGCTTCCATGTTCCAGCAAAGCAGGAGGCTGGGATGCCATCTTTGCGAATGCAAGAAAATTTTTCCTTCAAACATTTCACGTGCTTAGGTCACAATGTACTTTCTGTCTCACAAGGTGGTTTGGGAATCTTTCCTTCGGAGGAAAACCGTACAGCTCTTTGGCTGCGGTTGCGGTGGGCTGCTCCCGGTTCGCGCCGGTAGTGATGGCGGCAGGAGGCTCCGCCCAGACGTCATCAAAAACCCTCTGCGCATGTGCAGAAGTCCACATGCTACTGATAGCGAACTGGTAGCGCCGGGATTTGAATCCCGCTACTAGGTACGTTGTGATGGACACAACATTTCAAACATTTGCAGAGGTGGAGAAACAGAAATTCGGCCTACCGTAATGAATCAAGTGCAGATTTGGCAAGGGGCATAATTTGCACCGAGAGGCCGTATAAATAGTTAAGTGACAGTGAATTGAAGACTGACATTTGGATGCCTTTTGGTGTATCTCTTAGCTTGGGAGAAGTGGCGAACGTGTGCAGACACCATCTCTTTAAAGCAAAAACATAAACAGCAGGACAGGTGTTACATTGTCTGCATTGGCTATGCAGGTTGTACACACAACTGCAAAAGTCGAGGTATATCTAATTTGGTATTGACTTTGACTGTCTATGGAGAGTAGGATCAAAAGTGAATAAGGAAGCAATTAAAGGAGCCAAGAATCTTTTGAGCACCTTCGGTTTCTATTTTTATCCCTCTGTGAAGTCCCAGGTTGGTTTTGATATATATATTTTTTACTGTTTATAGTGAAAGAAATGCAAATTGAAGGTTATTTGGCAACCTGAAGCAGTTGGTTGGTGAATATCTTTTATCTCTCTGTATATCTATATCTATCTACCTACCTACCTACCAACCATCTATTTAAGCACACATATAATCCTTAAAATGAATGGAGTTTGCAGGGCAGCTCTGATAGGATAGATCTAGAACTGGGTGTGTGTAGATGTGATAGGAGAGATCCTCTCTTACAGGTGGAATCCACCCCATGTTCCAAGAAAGTCGTCTGCTTTGGGCCCCGTCTTTCCGGATTGTAGCCTGTATCAACACCCACTTCAGAGAGTTCCTGTGTTTAATCTAGCATGACCTTGTGATTATTTCTGAACAGCCAACTCCCATTGTAAACCTAGATAGGACAGGAATAAGGAACTCCACACCCTTCCCTCTCGACATAATTTCTGTTGTCTTAGAAAGATAGCATCATGTTGGGATGGGCAGTAGATTCAAGGGTAGGACAGATGACGCTGGTTTTGTCGTAGAGGTCTCCAATGGGGGGGGGGTTGGAGGCCAGTTGTGAGCACACTCACAATATGGCTTTCATATGGTGACTTTTATGGTGGGCCTGGCCAGTTGAGCTTCGTGTTGTTAGTTGCAGAAGTCGTGTCCGACCCATCACAACCCCATGGACAACGTTCCTCCAGGCCTTCCTGTCCTCTACCATCCTCTGGAGTCCATTTAAGTGCACGCTGACTGCTTCAGTGACTCCATCCAGCCACCTTATTCTCTATCGTCCCTTTCTTCTTTTGCCCTCAATCTTTCCCAGCATTAGGCTGTGAATCCTTCCTTCTCATTAGGTGGCCAAAGTATTTTAGTTTCATCTTCAGGATCTGGCCTTCTAAAGAGCAGTCAGTCAGGGTTGATCTCCTCTAGGACTGACCAATTGGATCACCTTGCAGTCCAAGGGGCTCGCAGGAGTCTTCTCCAGCACCAGAGTTCAAAGGTCTCCATTCTTTGGTGCTCAGCCTTTCATATGGTCCAACTTTCACAGCCATCCATTGCAACTGGGAAAACCATAGCCTTGACTATACACACTTTTGTTGGGAGGGTGATGTCTCTGCTTTTTAGTATGCTCTCTAGATTTGCCATAGCTTTCCTTCCCCAGGAGCAAGCGTCATGTAGCAGAAAGCAAAGTAGGACATTGAATCCTAAACTGAAGGACTGAAGAAGCTTCTTGAATGAGAAGTGAAACATCTTCAAGGAAAAACAAAGTCCAGTTTCCTTTTGGAAAAAGGAACAATGACAATTGGGACAATTGTCAATGATCAATGAGACAATTCATAGACATTGAATCCTCTACTATCCTCATGAGTTTCCCAAGAAAATACCAAATTATTTGTGTTTTCTTGACAGATGCCCTCCTCTTTCAAATAGAGCCCTCAATTACAGATATATTTTTTTCTTTTTATTTCCTAAAAAAAGCCTGAAGGGTACAAGGAGGAGCCTGAGCTGTTTCTTGGAAATAAAGATCAGGCTGGAGGTTAGCACATTGCTTGGCAGTAACCCAGTTTCTCATTGGATTGATTTTTAGTTAAAAACATCCTTTAAAAGAAATCTGGAAATGAACTTTGGGTCATGTCAAGGATCAAATAGTTGGAGGGCATCTAGGGCTCGAGAAATGAAACCATTTCTCATCACCCTGGTCTTTCTCCAGGAGAAGACCCACGATAAGATGCCGTCTGGGTCTCCATGTACACATTTGGAGTTCTTTCTGCTCAATTTTCATTCTTTTTCCGCAAGACCAAAGGTTTTGTCCCTTGCCTCAAAGGTTTTCAGCTGAAAAGTTAGTAGCAATTGCAAGTTACAAGTGGAAGACTTTCCAAATTGGATGCCCACCTACACAATTGATCTGGAAGAGCTGCCTTTGTGAGTAGCCCAAGTTAATTCATTTTGTGTTGAATCCCCACCTTCTCTTGCCATCTTAGGGAATTATGGATAAGTCCTATTGACCTATTTCGACCATCAATAGTGGCTTAATTCAATCAACCATGCCAGTCCTTGAAATGGTGCTTTGATTAGTAATATCAGCCCCTGGATTTCGACTGGAGCATGAGTTCTACATGGAATCAAGAATAGGGAACATGTGGACACTACTTGAGTAGGTATGGCCAATAGGAAGGTATGGTGGAAGGCATAATTCAACAGGTCATTTTCTTCCCGTTTTTTTAAATCTTGAGAACATTGTTGGCTTTGTCAAGCTTCCACCAAGAGCTTCAGGCAAAGTTTTTATCTTCCCAAACCCACTGAAGTCAGAAATAATCGCTTCCTTCATATACCTTGCGAAGCCAAAAGGCAAGGTTGCTTGTTCTGGGCTGAGCATGTCATTTGAACTCAGCCTTTAAAGAGCTGCAATATATATATCATGGTTTATGGCTTAGCATGTTCTACAAATCTGACTTACTTGGGTTACTTCGATAAATTATGCCTAACAAGGGATGACACGGGATGCTGTGTCAATACAGTTGATGAATTTTCCTAGTTCCAACTAGAGGAATGCCTTGGTTTCATGCAGTGCTTGTAAACACTTATTGTTCTAACATGTTCCTCTTTCCTCAATTAGTTAAAAGTGCAACATTTCCTGGTTGTAAAACTTCCTGCTCCTTATTTTCACCAATGACTTGAGAAATCTAATGGCTTCTCAACAGCTGAGTCCAAGCCTATCCCTCAAATGAATAGTCAACCTGAGTTGTGCACCAGGCTGAGCCCTAAACCATGGTTTACAAACCACTATGTCTGTGTTCTTGCTTGCTTGCTCCTGGGGAGGACAGGAGAAATCCCAGAGAAATCCCCCTTGCAACAAGTGTGTTTAGTCAAGGCGATGGTTTTCCCAGTTGCAATGTATGGCTGTGAAAGTTGGACCATAAGGAAGGCTGAGCGCCAAAGAATTGAGGCCTTTGAACGATGGTGCTGGAGAAGACTGCTGCGAGTCCCTTGGACTGCAAGGCAATCAAACCGGTCAGTCCTAGAGGAGATCAACCCTGACTGCTCTTTAGAAGGCCAGATCCTGAAGAGGAAACTCAAATACTTTGGCCACCTAATGCTGGGAAAGATAGAGGACAAAAGAAGAATGGGACAACAGAGAAGGAGGTGGATGGAGTCACTGAAGCAGTAGGCATGATCTTAAATGGACTCTAGAGGATGGTAAAGGACAGGAAGGCCTGGAGGAAAGTTGTCCATGGGGTTACGATGGGTCGGACACAACTTCGCAACTAACAACAACAAATGCCTGTGTTCCCATAAGTTTCTTAGCTAAAATGGAGCCAGCCTACGTCCAATGTGAGAGTTCCAGATGATTAAGAGAAGATGTTAAAATGTTGCTTCTCCAGGACTCCAGACTGCTGCTTTCTCAACAATCCACTTTCTGAAGTACTGTATCTGGAGGACGGTTGTTTTGCCAGTGCATTTTTGTGGAAGGAATTGGTTAAACGGTGAGGTTTGGGTAGGTCAAAAGACAACGTGTAACAAGAAACTCAGCAGGAGCACTCAACCATCTGCTGAGCATTTGATCTGTCCTGTCCTGTGTGGCATCCCATAATCACCAGTGCCCCCATTGTTGCTTTGTGCATTGAGACCCTTTGAACTCGC